TGCTACGTGGGTTTGCGCGCAGGTGCTACGCGGTAGCCGTGACGAATCATCGCAGACCAAAAATTGTGCATGTCCAATTTTTCCACGTAGGAAAATGAAGGCTACGCGGGGATCAGGTAGCTTATAATTACTTGCGTAATGCAAGCGGGCCACTCGAGGAGGGCCACGTAAAAATTCTAAAATCTCAATGTGGACCCCTCGCTATGCATACGCGGGTCCATGGTTTAAGGTCGTAATACATCGGAAGGGGATTCGAACCCACGACCTTTTGATAGAGAGTCAATGAAATGACCCACTATACTGAGGCACGTCTGGCGTTTGTTCGATAATAAGAGGATTGAAAGTTACTAAATACCAGCTCAGTTTGGCAAGAACTATCCTCACCAATGGTCACATTGTTTGCATGAAACGTGATAAAATTATTAATGATATCATTTTGAACGACACCCCGCACATATTTTCATCGTAAATTATCTCAATTTTCGTCATAAAATATTAGTTCGTGATCAATAAAAATTGCTTGGTCGGCTCTTTTACGTTAGTGATGTAAATTATAGGTCCCTCTTTATACCCATGACTGTGTCATGAATCGTTTTGAACTCGATGTCCAGTCATGTATGACTACATCAACACGTTCATAGTAAGGTCAAAGCGAGGAGCAGGTGGATCTATAAAGTCATTTAACTTTTTTTTAGTAGCTTGAATTTTGTCATGAATAAGAAATTTCATAACACTTTATATAAATTGAGATGTTTTACATCATGAGGATGTGCTGACAATGTCGATAACTATAAGGCCTACTATTCGGTTACTTTTTAAATACAAATCACCTGGAATGTGGAACAGCAGGATAAGAAAATAATTTTTTTGACAGAAATTAGACGAAATCGGACTTACAATCAAACAAATTAATGCAGTTTTTAAAGTTGCAATCATTATACGTAAAGGAATTTCAAATAGTAATTATATGACGGACAACTCTCTAATTTGTTCTCGCAAAAGAATACTATTAAAAAGTTTTTATGTTTTTCTAAATTTTTTTTTTTTTTTTTTTTTTTTTAGAGGACCTTTGATAATATGTTATCCATAATTTATTTTAGTAGTTCCCCAAGGGAAATTTTTGGTATTTTAGTACACGCCAAACGGGAGAGTTTTCCGTAATAACGTCACAACCCACTGAACAAATCGGCAATTTGAGATTTGAATAGATGTAGTGATCTCATGCTTTAAAGATTCATCACTTTCCTGTTAGAGGTCTGATTTATTTCAAACTTTCGCCATTTTGTTTCTCTTAATTTTTAGAGGTGTCGTGGTGTAGTGGATGCATGATTGGACAGTTTATCACATGGTTCGCGGTTCGAGTCCCGCCGCGGCACTAATGTCCTTTGGCAAAACATTGGTCTACATTTACCACTCTCCATATATGTGTCCAATGGATACCGGTAGGAAGGAATTCCTGTAATGCTTTGACTACAGAGGTGGATAGTAATGTGCGCTCTCAAAATATCCATTATCGTTATTATTTTCACTATCATTTTTCGCCTCTTCCGCTTTTATACAAATGAATTCATTACAACGATTGAATTGTCCTTTAAATTAATACTGCTGAAATATGCGAATTATCTCAGTGTTATCCTTCTAATTTCAAACTTGCATATTGCTCCGTTTAGTCTCATTTCACAACGCCCCCTATCGTCAGAGCATGGTCAGAGTCAGCAGCCTAACATGTTAGCCTATGGACGTTTTTTTTTTAAATCTTTAAAAATTCATTTTTTGTTTAAACGAAAAACACATCCACCCCGACGTACGTTATCACTAGCTCTTTCATTGGAGCCCTCATGTCTCATTGACTTTTGAAAGTTCACCCAACGTAATTTTTCAAAATAGGTTGCAAGCTCGTCATTGCCTATAATACACATGTGAAACAAGTCTAACTTTGGACTCAGTTTGCCAAGCGATTTGAAGATTGTAGGTCGAGCACACGAAACATAAAAAGCATGAATTATCATAAAGCACTTCTGCCTATTTCATTATGTCCATTTCATCCAACCCCCCCCCCCCCCCCACCGTAATTTTTCAATTTAATAAAAGCAAACATTTAGCCGAGGTAAGCGAAAATATGAATATTCATGATACACCATGGACTATTCGGTTATTAACAGAGGGGTGCAATCGGTCATCACCAAACTCCCTAATTGCCACCAAGTATTTCATATAATTATATAGTTTGGTATGTTTCTTTTACTCACTCATGATGGTTTAACATTTAGCCGAGGTAAGCGAAAACATGAATATTCATGATACACCATGGACTATTCGGTTATTAACAGAGGGGTGCAATCGGTCATCACCAAACTCCCTAATTGCCACCAAGTATTTCATATAATTATATAGTTTGGTATGTTTCTTTTACTCACTCATGATGGTTTAAAGAAATGTAAAAGAAATTTTAGTTTATATTTATTAACAAAGTAATTTATATTTAGCAAAGCAATCTCACATACAAAATTACTATCAAGTGTCGTCTGTTACGCCGATTGTCGCCTGCTTCATTATAGGCACATATTTATCGTTTGGACTGTAAGGTATACCAGGGAGATTTGTATTTTCCTGCAGTACAACGTATAGTAGGAAAATGTTGTATATATGCGGATCGTTTTAATGATTACGTAATGGAAGTGGCGAGGCGGTATGGTTTGAATAACTTAGGCAGGTGAAAGTTATTGTTATTGTATTGAGAAGGAAAGGAATGTTCAGAAAGGCATAGAGAGGGAAGTGGGCGTGGTAGCCATTCTAGCTTTGCACCTACATCAGTACGAGAATACACCCGACGGCGCGGTGGCCTGTACTTATAGCGCGCGAACACATCACACCCAATGGCATACACCCGGTACCCTGCAACACAGTGGAACATTCTAAGAAAATTAAAAAATTATCTACAAAATGGACCTCTTGAATCATCTGAAAAGTAACTTACCCTATTCTGATTACTTCAATGAATGTCAAGATAACAATGGCTGCTTTTCCATCCAAAAATAAAACTAGTTTGCAATTAGAAATAGTCAATTTCTCGATAATTTCACAAAATATATTTGCCGCCGCATTCAATATGACGTCATTGACAGCTGATTGGCTAGTTTGGTAGTGACGTCGAACGAGCTATGTTTGTGCTGCAGTGATCGAGCGAGCGAAAATGAGACAATCGGAGCAATATGATTAGTATCTTAGGTAGATTATTCACGCTTTTGCATGTTTGATACTAATAATATGTCTATTTTTGAATGAACTATAATATAAATGAAATACATTTAAAAATTATATCATATTTCTTAATTATTTTGTTACGTTCTATAATAATTATATTATCCATTTATTACAATAGTTGATATTATGCATTTTTTTGGATCAAATGGAAAAACAGCGGTTCTCTGCTTTTATTACAGGTAAAATGGGCTTTCCACCGTATTTTAATCTAAAATTCTTATATATAAATATCTATATATATATATACCATTCATGCTTTGTTGATTTTTGAAATAAAAACAAACAATCAGTAAGTAAGATATTTATAGTAGCTTTAAATCAATGTTCAACACACTAGGCTCGTATGTTGATTTTAACATAAGTGGAGACAATATAGATCCAGAAAAATGAACGAAGCGGGTTAGTGAAAGCTTGAGCAAAACTGATAAAAAAGACAGTTATGAATTTTCAAGGTGCGATTAAGGTATTTGAAAAGCTACACTTTTCAGGGAACATTTTTTCTCTCATGTTCTTTCACACATACTTAATAATAATGTTAATGCTTACAAATTATTTTTCACCTCTCCCCAGAACTTAACCTTCTCTTTAAGAAAATGTTCAATCATACATTAACCCTAGATATATCCATCCATTCTTCAATAAGTAAGAAAGTAAAAGTTATGAGATTGTCTGTAAAGAGCAAATTTCACCGGTGACAACTTCACAAATTCATAACTTTCCTATTTTAATCAGGTATTACTCAAACGCTCACTAATTTGTATCTATCATTTTTGTACTTTTATTAAAACCAACTTAATTAATAAGAGGAATTACCCTTTAGGCAGAGAATTAAAATAATATAAGAAAAGCGAATTTTCTGTAATTTTTAAATATATTTTTATTTGCTATTCATTTTGAAATATGTAGACTACTCAATTGGTATGCAAAATTTTACTGAGGTACGTGAAGCTGTAACGTGAGTGTCGCCCTTTTTATGATCATCTTAATATTAATGTCTGTGTTATCTTGAATATGAATGAATAACCATGTCATTCTGATTTGATAAGGAATGTAAGAGGCGATGGAAATGCAAACTATTATTTTTGATTTTTGATTTTCAGTGAATTCATAATTATATAATCACATAATGTTACTACTAATACCCATTAATAAGGTGAAATATTACAATTAAATTCTATATACCTTGTTGCAAAGTTAAGGACAATATCTTTCATCCCTTGTAGCGCCAATATCGGGTTTGTTGTTACCAATACTTTAATCCTTTTGAACGATCTAGTGATAGTAATCAGAGTATTATGATAGTTTTTTTTATATCGAAATGAAATAAAGGTATCATAAATTTAGCACCATGGCACATAATGTTGTCTGATCGTTTACTTTTATTTTGTCTTTTGGCACCAACGTTAATAACGAAGAAAACTCCACTGGCATCATGTGCGTTCGACAAACTAAACGAGAGATCAAACGAGTATTCCGCCAACCAGAATCGAGCATGAAGAACTCACGATTTCTGAAATGTAACACCCCTCCCCCTCCATCACATTCCGTCGAACAGGCAACAAGACGGGGAAAATAGGGGATTAAGGCAGGAAATGCCGAAAGCACGTCACACAGAGCCCCATGACGTGAGACTAGGTAGGGTATTACATCGTGTCTATTGAGCAGTATTTGTGATCACGTGATACGCGGTTGGCGGCAGTAAGCGAGTGCTGTGGACTATAAAACACGGAGGAAAACCGGTTGGACGACAGTCAAGAACCGAAAGCACGGAACACCACGAGAAAAGGTAACTTTAGAAGACGAAAGCAAACGAGTGTTCCAATCTTTTTATTTCGCGTGATAAGAGACTGTACAGTACATACAGAAGAACGAAAACAGAGAGAAAGAAAGAAGAAAACAGAAAGAAGGTTGCTGCACTTGCGTCGGCGTCCCCGAGTTTGGGAGTAGCACTTTAATTTTTTCTTAGGATACAAAGGTTGGTAAGTTTTCTATATTTAGTCACAAGTATATTAAGGCTTTGTTGTAAAATTGGTTATGTTATTATCGTACTTTAAATGGTATTCTAAATATTTTTTACTTTAAATGCCAAATGTGTGGAACGTCTATAAATGTTCTCAATCATAGACGTATTAGATAAATGACGTTAAATAGTATACAAAAGTGAACTGGACTTCCTGCAAGGCCAGTTGACTTGTCTATAGTAGTTAACGTTAAATGTGTGAAACGTTTCAAGCAAACATAAAAACCGGTTTAAAACTATTTCAATAATTCAAATGAGACCACCTCGTTTTCAATTCGTTTAAAATGACAATAATTATTTCATTTTCCAATTTCCTGTTATATAGCACTGGACTTTTGATGTATATGGTATGCAATCGAAAAGATGTTAGTGTGGTACAAACAATCTCAATTTAGTTGTTTTTTTAAACTGGAATTGATCAACCCATTTTAAAGTTTCTTTACCTGATAAATACACACAATATTCTAAGATCTACATTACAAAACACTAATTTATGCTAATGGTTCATACAAAAATCCATTTCTTAGAGTGTAATAAAACTCACAGACTAACGAAACAAACAATGCTTAGAATCTTCCAAATGTGAATTACATAATTTCAATGTTACAGTAAGATGAGTAATCAATTTGTTTCGCATTTAATATTTTGCATCCTGAAAAGTGAATTGAAAATTGATCAGGAATATTAAACGTTTCACCTACTAAAGCGTAGTTTAGTTTTCTTCTGTAATTCAGTAATTTTATTTCAATGTGTAATTCTTAATCAAATCTGCACTAATTTCATTTTGATAGTTCCGCAAGCCAATGAACATGTGATTGAATTAATATTTTCATCAATGAAAGTCATAATTCAATGTTTTGTAGTTGCGCCAATCTGGTTTTAATTCAATCTTCTTTCAAAGTTGACTGTAAAAAGGCCCGGTAACAGATGCCCGTGACTCTCTTGCACCGCCTAATATTATAATCAATAGCCTAGATTTATAAATAACATTTAGATCTATAAATCACATTTCAAATTTTAACTGATATTGTAAATCCATTTTTTTCTTTTTGCATTGAACGATTTATTCATAGTAAAAGATGTGTGCGCAAACTGTCTTAATTTCAGCGTTGCTATTTTAACCTCTATTAATTAATCTTTTTTGTTAGTGTGCATTTAATTTCTTTATTTCACGCGATTCTACTTGTCGTTGAATGTAAACATTATCCGAACATTACCGTGTACTGTATTATATACACCGTAAAATACTGGTTTGTTTTTTTAACCTTCGATTGCCTTGGGAACACAATTACTTCACCACAAACCCGCTAATCCACTTATGAACCGAAAAACTGTATGTGAGATGCTTAAGGCGTATTGATTGTCAAAAGAATCGATCAGTAAATTGTAAGCGTATGGTGTGAAAGTTTAACTCATCAGTAAAGATACATTACATTTACGAATCCGATTCGCCTATAAGAAATATTTGATTCTCAGATTGTAAAAGATGAGGAGTCTTGTGGAAACGGACTCTTTGCAGGATTACCCTTTTCATGTATTTGGTAACTCAGTCGAGCAAGATATGCCCCAGGTATTCCACCAAATATCAATATTTTCCCTGGTGACTTTTGGTGTTAGCAGGGCGCCTAGAGACCCGACAAGCGGCGAGGTTTCAATCATGTATGACATATGTTGGAATGAAAAATTCCGCGGCTCTAACCATGGAGTACCACATACAATATGCTAGATGAAGGTCTGAATTTTATCTCACACAAACGTCTACGCTTTAATAAGTTCATGATCGTTTACGAAATGATTATAGATATAAGAATACTTGAGTTATTAGTGACAGTCGATGGTACAATGGATGAATTGATAACTTTGTGGATCTACCGGTAATAATTGTATAGCAAAGATTTGATTGATTTTATTATAATTTTTATTCTAATTTTAGATGGAAAAACAATATAAGAATTATTTGTTGTGAGATGATTATAGATCATGAATGAATGGTGGTGTTTTTTTTTTTACCTGACTGCTAAGAAATCATTAATGCTTGTAAGGAAGCAACCAGACGGCCGACGGCTTTAGGTCCTCTCCGAGGGACCTGGTAATGAGGATTAATGCCTTACCAAAGGGCACTAGTGCATCGCCTTGGTTTCGAACCAGGGTCACCGGATTACACGACCACTGCTCTACCGACTGAGCTATTGCGCCTCCTCATGGTAGAGTAGCTCCTAAATTCCGATCTTGCTTAATATTTAAAACAAAAACTATAAAATTCTTCCTTGAAACTTCTAAGATTCTGAAATTCTGAGTCTGACGTTTCTTTATCAGCACATTTTTCATGTTTTATTTCCTTGATCATATATGGAGGTTGATTTTCCAGTTGCTGATTATTTCATCTAAATGTCACGGTCATTATGAATACACAAAGTCATTGACTGAATAGCTCGAAGTTAATTAGGTTTCCAACTCACCTGCTTCGGCTTTATCAGAGAGTTGCTGTTAAAATCTAGTGATCAACAGAAACATCTTACATTGAAAACAAGATATACAGAAAGACCCGCTACAACTATATTACTGGTAGTTATTCCCTGAAGAATAATATATATACGAACCTCCGCTTTGACTTTACAATATGCATAAAGGTTAAGTCAATCAAATATTATTTTTAGATGGGCACATTATAAATAATGTATAAACATTACTACATATTAGGGTTTAAAAGTCCTACGAAAATTAATCAAGTTCTTGCATGAGCAAATATTTCCATTGTTACTTTACCGATGAAAGAATGTTATTTTTGGCCGTTTTAATTTTGAAAGTTAACATTTCAATTAATTTTTGTTATTTACACCTACATTTTCTCATTATGTATCAAGATGTCAAGTGTCGTCTACATTTGAAATAAATGTATCCGTTTCGCACTGCTTTTGGTAAACTAAATATCCATTACGAAATGTTACAAACACAGACCATGGTCTTATCAATATTATGGAAACCTAATGGAAGCTTTCGCAAAACACGCTCTAATATTTTATGATAGCAACTCTTATTATTTCATACCTTTCAATTTTTGACAGATCCAGATTTTGACAGCAGGAAAGAGTAGCTGTTATTTTCACTCCATAGCGTAAACGTTTCAAAAGGTTTTTCATTTTTTATAATTGACAATGCAGATATTGTATTTCATAGGAAAACATTTTGATATGACATTCAATTGACAGCACAGAATGGAACTTTCCAGTGACTGGAAAGCATAATAACCTTTGACAAAAACGATATTGTCTCATGATATATTTTATCTTGTCTCAGCAATTCAGCTCCGTAAATGCTTTCCTCTTCACATGTATACTTAGTTAAATAAGTAGAATACAATTGAGAAGTTAGTTTTTTAATTGTTTGCTGATAATGCTAATGTTTCTCCTTCGTTAAGGAAGCGGTCTAAGCTTTTAAAATCTTTTCTTCTTCTTGTGTTCTTATTGAAAAGATTTCAACGTATCGATTTCTGGCATTTCATTCTTTTTATATCGCAAAGTCACACAAATTCATGAGATCGTATCGTACGTTTTATCAACGAATGGATGAAGGAAACCCTTCCTTGGAATTGCAAATCGGTGATAAAAAAGTTCCATGCATACATTAATTGAGCTTGATGGAAAGCTGAACAATATTTGAGATCAGATTGTGAATTTAGAACCGATTTCAAAACAACATACTATTTTCAGTTTTCATATTCACAGTTTCTCTTATAGCACCCCTACTAGAACTATACTTTTTGTAAACAGGGAAACTTGTATTTGACATATTGAATTCTAAATTTTGACTTGAATCACAAAGTCTACGATCTTACTTCTTTCATTTCAGCCAAGTAATGATAATGTCGCTCTCGCTGTCAAGATAAACGCCAAAGAAGGGCGAACATTTTCAACTATCATTTTAAGTATACCGAGGGATTTGGATATAATATTCATTATTATAATAAATGGGGGTAATGAAAAAGCTTTTAAGACACGAGAAATCATCGTAAACCTGCTTCAGAATTGATATATGACATAAAGGTCGTATTCCGAGATAGAAGTAGTCCTTAGTATAAGCTCGATCATAGCTTAAACTTGATAAAGTCAGTGTGTAAACCATCTCGTCTTGACTTCACCTGGGGTGAAAGTACAGTAATTCACCTCCAGTATGAAGTTATCACATGCTATAACAACATGCCTTGATTAGCCGGCAGTGCGCCAATTCAATTTCATGCGAATGTCAAGTGTAAAAGATACGTTCACTTCACGAGAAAGCTTCAGTTCTCGCGGCATACCGCTTGTGTTTTGCTAGCTGTATCAGCCAACCTGATAGAATGTCTGAACTGTCAGTGTCTTGACGGAGACTACAAATGTGAATGAACAAGGGAGTCAGGGGCAACAAAGTGTATTACCCTTTATCGTATTTTGTTGTTGTAATGATTACTGCATGAAAAAACATGAAAACCGTTCCTATCTAATGTACTTATTTAATCCACAATTAGCCCCCTCTTCTCGTGTGTCTCAACTCCATTATCTCTTTGATTTTGTTTCAATCACTTGTTTTGATCATATTGGCGTTAAAACTTTTTATAGAAATCAATTCTTCCTATTGTGAAACATCTTGTGATTAATTTATTTCTCACACCATTTTGTTATTCCCTCGGTGTGACAAAGTATACATAGTTATATACAATACTATTAAATATTGGTTGTGTGAAAAAGGATTTTGTAATTCAAAATTGCATCAAGTGTATTCAATGATTTTCAATCCATTGAAAATATCATTGTGGATTACTGTTGCTTACCGTGTACAGTAGTTTTAATTTACATTATTGGCTGACTATGTATCCTTCCTTGTCTGAAGGGGATTCGAGTATATTTTATGTTTGGAAAAGTCTATGGTGTTCTTGATGATAGAGTGCACGTCCAATGTATGTGTTCATTTGTTGTCTCAGAC